GCTCTTTATTTTCCAACATTTGGTAATCTTGTTTAAATGTATGTAGGTGAGGAGAAACCCACGTCGTCATGATTGTTCTAGTGCAAGAAGGAGCAAGGAAGTTAGGAATGCAACCAAATTCTGGATATGCGAACAAGTAAAGGATTGGCTTATGGAAGATGCAAGCGTAGGAGCTAAAGAATTGCAGAGGCGAATAAAGGACAAGCATAAGGTATATATCAGCTACAAGAGAGTGTATGCTGGTAAGGAGCTAGCCCGAACACAACTATTTGGTAGTTGGGACAACAGCTTCAATAACTTGTATAGGTTTAAGGCAGAGGTGGAAAGGTGCTGCCCTGACAGTTTTGTAGTAATAGATCATCACAAAATTGTTGAGAAGGTCAGATTTCATAGGATGTTTTTTTTGCTATGAAACCATGTATCGATGGTTTTCTCAATGGATGCAGACCATACTTGGCCATAGATAGCACATTTCTGACAGGAAAGTTTAGGGGCCAGCTAGCATGTGCAATAGTTGTAGATGGGCATAACTGGATGTATCCAGTTGCTATTGGAGTGATAGACTTAGAAACTAATGAAAATTGGATATGGTTTTTACAAAGGCTTAGAGATGCCATTGGAGCACCTACAGGCTTAGCTATATGTATAGATGCTGGTCAAGGAGTAATGGCAGGAGTGAAAGAAGTGTTCTCAGATGCAGAACATAGAGAGTGCATGCTGCATTTGGTGATGAATTTCAAGAAAAGATACAGCGGGAAAATATTTGATGATCATCTTTGGCCTGCAGCATATTCGTGGAGCCCATACTATTTTGAGAAGCATTGGAAAGCAATGGAGGAAGCTAAACCATCAGCAATGACGTATATAAGGCAGTGGCATACTAGGATATGGACAAGAAGTCAATTTGGGACCCATTGCAAGGTTGACTATGTCACAAACAATTTGGCAGAGTGCTTCAACAACTGGATAAAACAGTTCAAAGGGCTGAATTTGGATGACCTTATGGACAAGATCAGGCAACTTATTATGGATAAGTGGGATGTTAGAAGAACAGTATCAAGAAAGATTGACGGACTTATTCTGTCACACATCATCAAGAATTTGAAAGAGCAAAGCAGGAACTTGGATATGGATGTATAGAGGAGTGGGGATATTCTAGCTGAGGTGTCTGTCAAGGGTGGCAGTGGATTCAAATGTGTTGTCAACCTAGATGAAAGAACCTGTCATTGTAGAAAATGGCAAGTCTCGGAAATTCCTTGCAAACATGCAATTGCATTCATAATATCTCTTCGGGAACCTTTGGAGAAATATGTTGACATGTATTATTCAGTTCAGAAATTTAGAACAGCATATGAGATTCTTATCCCTGCTATGCCTGACAAATCCCAATGGCCACAATCTGACCATGGTTACTTTATGCATCCACCACTTATAAAATCTACATCTGGTAGAAGGCAGAACAAGAGAGCCAAAGGATGTACAGAGGCTAATGGCAGCACAACAAAGAAGAAAGGGTCACATCAATGCCCCATTTGCAAGGATTATGGACACCGCTGGTATAACTGTAAGGATGGTGACCCTGAGGATATAGCAGCTATGCTAGCTGAGAAGTAAGCATTCTAATCTTTACTTAGTTTGACTTGTTATTGATTTAATATTGCTTCCTTTTGAGATCTCATTGATGTTTATGTTCATGCAGGGGCCACCAAAAAGAAGGAAGAAAACAACTAAATGTGAGAGTAGCATTGTCCCAGCTGACCCAGGACCTAAAACAATGCATTTTCCTCCTAGGTATGCCTCCATATACTTAGAGATCTGAAATTTAAATTCTGATTATTTTTCTAAAAAATGCATTTCATTTTTTGTATTACAGCCAAAATGCCTCGCTTATCTTAGATTCTGAAAACTCTCTCAAGTATGTGCCCAATATCCAATGTCATTTGTTCTTAATTATAGCATTCTCAATATTATTCTCTAAAAGTGTAAAACTCGCTCACATGCAGGTCTGGTAGTGGCTCAAACCAACCTGAGACACTTTCCATTGAGTACCCTTTGTTCACTTTAGGTGAAACCACACCACCAGCTGCCACATCCATGCATATAGTAGAGAAAAAGGGTAAAAGGAAGGCAAAGGCACAAGGAAAAAAGAAGCAGCAGCAAGTTACAACATCAACAGATAGTCCAGCAATGGGGACTAGAAGCAAGAACCCTCTAAGGTAAAGCCCTGCTGCACACACCAGAAGCAAGAGAAAACTTTCAGATTTGAATTTGTAGTTCAAGCAACTCATTTGTATGGTCTGTAATATCGTGCAACCCTCTTATTTTGCTTGATATATAAACTTATGGCTGTTTATTTTGCTTAGCAAGTATGAGCCTAGTTGAGAATTAAATGGACAACAATGGCTGCTTGAACATGTTATTTTGTTTGGTCTGTAATCCAATGAATTGCTAGTTTAGTTGGTAAACATTTGAACTAATGAATATCAATATATTATATGGATGTTGTGAACCATATTAAGTATTCTATGAATATAATATTATTGTCATATTTCTATGCATGTGTTGAAATGTTATCATTTGTGTCACTGTATATTGCTGATAGGTCTCTAATTGATTTGCCTGTGTTCTAAAGTTCAATGACAACCAAGGGATTGTTATAGAGAAAATTTCTAAGGGTAAGATTGTATTTCACATGCTCATCTTATAGCAATCTCCCTGCATTGGACGGCAATGGCAGTGAAGAGATTTGAAATTTAGAATGGATGGCAGTGAAGGGAGCATATAATTTTGAATGACAGTGAAAGGCATGTTATATGTTTCAGTGGCAACGAAGGAATTTGTTCATGATAGCATGGACGAGTGCAGGGCCAACTGCCCCCTTTGCAACCCCACATGTCATCCGCCGTCCTTGGAACGTCGACCATCGCATGGGACATTGAAACCTTAGGGTCCACGAGCCTGTTCGGGAGGCCGTATCGTATCGTGGATTATTTACTGCTGGCTGGTTTGGTGTGAGAGAAAAACACTATTCCTGGCTGGAAATTTATGATCGTTTACGAGAAGCGAACAGGCTGATGACGCCAGATATTCAAACCATGGGTGCCAATAATCTAAATAATGTACGGTGGACGTCATATATGATATCAAAATCAAAGAATCTCTATGCATTTGCTCTCTCTTTTTTCCACCTTTAATCATGGCTGTATTTATTGCCTTTGAGCTTCCACGGCATGTAATTTGGTGCAGAGTTTGGCTAAATTGCAAGTCTTAATACCCAAACAATAATGACAAATCAACATGCTGGTCCCCAACCCAGCCTGCGCCCTCCCTCCGCCTCCCCGGAGCCGCCTAGCCGGTCCCCCTCCTCCGCCGGATCTACCCCACGCCTCCCTCTGCCCCCGCTACGACGCTATGCCATCCGTCGCGTGGAAGCTCGCCCGGGCCGCCTCGCGTGCGGCTGCCTCCTCACGCGCGGCCGCGGCGGCGGCCGCCGCCTCTCGCGATTCCCCTGTCGCCACAGCCGCCGCCTCTCGCGGTTCTGCTGTCGCCGCAGCCCACTCACGCGGCGGCGTTAACCATCCTCCCTGTCGGTACCACCTCGTCCGCGATCCCTCCTCGGCAGCAGCGCCTCCCTCCACCCGCCCTACCCATCCAAGAAGCGTATCGCTTCTTCAGCTCCAACAGACGGCGCCCAGTTGGACTTGGACCCCTCTTCAATTTGGACATCAGGTCAGACAAAGAAGGTATGCCCTTTGATGTAAAGGACCTTAAGTCGGAGCAAACCTTGTGGGCCTTGTACAATCGGTGGTGTAGCTACTTCAACGTGGCACGTAGCAGTGTGGACAAGGGATACCGATTCAACATATTCAAGGAGAAAGCTGGTTTAATCTATCAACTCAAAGGTGCTGATCCAAAGAATTTGGAATTAAACCATCCCTGTGATGTTGCCATAGATGAGCTCTGTCCCCCCAAAGTTTTTTCGTCGCCGTTATTAGTGAGGATCTCCATGAACTCTGCAGAGCGGCCCTGCACTCCACGATAACCTCCAGCCGATCTGCCCTGCAAGGGAGGAATATGTTGTGCAACAGGCCTCTTCCTCTGGATGCAGGTGTGCCCTGTATATGCAACTTGGAACACAATAAGGAGGTAGTTATGGGAAACAATCCTATCTGTTGCATACCCGTATTTAAGCTGTGCGTTTGTAAGCATAAGTTAAGCTGCTTCATGTGTGGTGTTAGCCTGAGCATCTGTAAGTTAATGTTCAAGTCACCCTGAGGTGTGAGTTAATGTTAAGCTGGCACCTGTTACTTTATACTGCTCTTACCTCCTGGTGCATCCTGATTCCACACTCTTTTCATATCTGTAATGTAATGCGTATTTGTAATAAACTGCTATTGAAATCATATTAGGTGAGGCTACAATCTTGTTTTCTCACCATAATCCAAAAACAAATCAACATGCTCCCTGCTGCAGTGGCGACCGGCCTAGTACCGGCAACAGTCAGCAGGAGATGAAGCGGCACCGTCCTCTTCTCTTTACAGCCGATTCGAGGTGCTGAATATGGCTGCCCACTGCTACTGTTAGGCAGGGCCGGTCCTGAGTTCCTGACCTTTCATGGGCCTTTTGCAGTATATAAGTGTACAAATGGTGTTTACTTTGTGATGTCAATGGAAAACGAATATATTTTGAGAGTACCCAAAGATGTGTATGAACACACAGGCCATAACAGAATACTCCGTAACTAACATCAACCATAAATACGCACAAAGTTCATAGTAGTTCTTATTTACAACTCTGCAAGACCAGAATGTATATATGCCAGGCCGGAAGCAAGACACAGTGACAAGAGGGAAAAAACCCTCCTTTGCCAGCTTCGGCCCTCCCAGAAGCAAGCTACTTTTATTTGCCAGGCTAAGTAATACTTACATTACAAATATGTTGATAAATACCCGAACGTAATTAGGACGACCAGACCAGGGAGTTGATTTGTTCAGGAACCTTCAGCCTTGGTTCTTCACAACAAGAACTGGACGCTTAGAATGATGTACACAGTAGTTGCTGACGCTCCCAAGAAACAACCTGCAGCGACGATAAAGGGTAGTGGTCAGAAAACGGATGACCAAGTGCTCAGGATTGTTCTTGATGGGTCCGATGTGCCGCGTAACAGGAAGCCAATTCATGGAACACACTATTGGGTCTCTATGGAGGAATCGTTACTCAAAGCAGAACTTGATAGAAATGGTTTGTGTTAACTGCCGCCCAGTATAATGCTCGAGTGACTTAAACAAAGAACAATTTTGGAATGTGGAGAAAAGAACTTACCACTGTCAGTATGTAGTAGTGAAATTGAAGAAATGTCCTAACTAAGATACCTGTCTCATTGGCTCATTAAGCCAGAGCTGGGATATGGGCTAAAAAAGGCTTCCTGATCAGTAAGCCAGAACTGGAATGTGTCTCAGCCTTCTTCAGAAATGAACTTTGCAAAGTACTATATTTGATTAACTAGCAATGCGAGTATATCGTTCCATTCATCTATGCAACTTGCGCTCTTCTCGCCCGCGCAATGACTTTGCAAGTTCCTTTCCCGTTTCAGTCAAATGCAGAATATTGTTGTTTAACTATCAATAGAACTTGAGAATATCTGATTATATTCACAAAAGTAAACTCACACAAAAATACGACTACCAATTACTTTGCGCTGTCGACTTGGAAAATAAACATGTTGGATTGATCTCCCACGCCATTGCCCAACGGCCTTTGGGCCTTGTTCTCGCGCCCTTATCGGGGGCGCCCAACCCTACATGGTTGGTGGGCCCCCGTCGCATAGCGCTATAAAGTAAAGGTGGGGGCCAGGGCTCGCAGTACGAGGTTCACCGCGCCGCCAGACACCCCACCGACATCCTAACCCTAACCCGATCTTGAGAAGGGGCGCTGCCAGCGACGGGAAGCACCACCGACGCCGGCAATGCCACCCCGACGCACACGCCGCCGCCAAGGACGCCACTGCACCGACTCCTCTCTCCACCGAACGTCGCTGCCGGCGCGCAGATGGCATCCGCGAACGAGGCCGTGGCCGGCGCTTCCACCACTCCGACTGCTTCGACCACTACGGCCTTCGATGGTCTGCGACTTCCTACTCCCCTTCTCTCTGCCTCTCTGTAGATCGTGTATTAGGATCTTTGATTACTGGGATTTTGACTCGATTGAGTCCTACGAAATTTAACAAAACACATATAACAACGAAATTCAAGATATATACCTTTGTATTGGCCCACGACTGTGGCTTCCAAGAACTAGCAGATCAACATTTTTCTTCTCAGCTGCTTCACAGATCACCTCTTTTGCATCTCCTACCTCAACAATTGTCTCTACAGCAACCTGCAATGCAATTCAAACAGGGGTAGAGTTGTAATGGCAATGGTAATGCTAGCTACAACTACCTGCAATTCAAACAGGGGTAGGACGGTAATGGCAGATTGTTGCAAGGAAATGACAATACTGAATATGTACAGAACAAACACTACTGCAGTCTGGAATAAGGTAAACAAAATCCGATCAATGCCTCAATCCATACCAGTCTTTCTTTCTCTTTGTTAAACGTTGCAACCTGAATCTCTCTATGGCTCTAGCTAAGAAACAACTAAGTCTAGCTGTAACCTGCTCCGTAGAAGTAAAAAAAAAACTACAGCTAGACTAAGAAATCAGCCGAGTAAAAACACTTGGCGAAAAGGAAACCGGATCTACACATACCCCATGCTCAGCGCAGATGGCCCTGGCCTTGTCGAGGAGCGCCTGCGTGAGCTGCCTCTGCTGCTCCTGCATCGACTTCATGAGCTCCGGCGCTACCGGAGCAACGGTGCCCACTAACAAATCAAATAATCAATCGAATCATCCCATTCAACCGATATCGGGATGGAAAGAGCAAAGAAAAAAAAAATGAGACATCAGGCAATACGTACGAGGTGCGCCAAAGGACGCGGCGGAGACATATCCAAGGGGGAAGGGCGGCTGCACGGTGAGCACCAGTAGCGGCGGCGCCAGCGTGGGCGCCAGGTTCCGCAGCACCCACTCCAGCGCGTGGCGGCTGCACTCGCTCTCTTCCACCGCCACCATCACCTTCTGCAGCCTCTGCTGGTGGTGGCCACCCTGCTGCTCCTGCCCCTCATGCGGCGCTGGCGAAGCCATCGTCGTCCGGTCGTCCACTCCCGCCGCTGCTAGTAGTGCTTTAGCTGTAGTTGGTGCAAGCTCAAGATCCACAACGACTGCCAGAACGCTCGTTCGATCGGGCTTCTCTCTGCTCTCAGATCGCCTTTTATGGATAGTTGGATGGATACTGCCCGAATGCTCGATTGATGGATAATCAAACACTCACGATCGGTGGCGTGGCTTCTGCAACTTGTGTTAGATTGATGTCTCAACCAATAAGCCCAACGGCCTATTGGGTCTTCGTCACGTGTCCTGATCGGAGACGCCCAACCCTATATGATTGGTGGGCTCCTGTCGCATTGCGCTATATAAAGAGGTGGGAGCCGGTAGCTCGAGGTACGAGGTTCACCGTGAGCCGTACACCCACCGATAAACCCTAATTCCGATCTCGAAGAGGGCGTGCAGCCAGCGACGAGAAGCCGCCACCGTCATCACCGTCATCCCATCGCCACTGCACTGCATCACCGCCTCCATCGCGTCGCCTCTCTTCACCGATCCGTCATTCACGTCTTGCACCTTTACATCGAATAACCCGATGGAGGCTATGGATCCTCCACCCTGCAGCCTCGTGTTCGGTACCCTTTCCTTTCTTTCCCCGTCTCTCAGAGAGACCATTCTACATGTCCTAGGATTTACCGCTTTACATGTTATACCGAATAGAACAGTCAAAGGCTAGATCTATGATCCTGCAGTTCTAACAATGGTACCAGAGCCACGGTTTAGGTATAGATATGGCTAGGGTTTTGATCTAGAACGGATAAATCGATTAGAAAAGGAAAAGATGAAGAGATCTAGTGCGGATCTAGAAAGTAGAAAGGGCTTGGTACGACAAAGGGTTCGGTTGAACCCTAAACTCGGCCTTTTCGGATCCGAAAAAGCAAAGGTTCGATGAACCCTAACCCTAATCAAGTTAAAGAAAAATTGAGGGCTTGTTTTCATGACAAAACCGAACCCTAAAACCCAAATCGATTCGGGAAAAAAAAAAGCAATGGCCATCCCAAACCCCAACCCTAACCTAATCATGAAAACGGGATGAAATCCGAACAAAAGAATCAAAAGAAAGGGGAAGAAAGGTAAGAGGGTGGCCTACCTCACTATGCCGGCACTATAGTCACGCCATGCCGTGAGGAAGAGAAAAAGCCGCTCGGGGCACTCCTTGCCGAACAGCCACAGAGGCCTGGCGCTGGCTGGCTCGCTGACGGCGGCGCTCACCCACCGGGAGCGCGCGCCGGGCGAGCGAGGAGCTGGAGAGGCAGCGCCGGGCTCTCTGCTTTCTCTCTCCGTCAAGCTCCTCGCTCGGTGGATCGCTGCGGCAAGGGACCGAGTGGAGAGGAGAGAGAGCGAGGAGGCGAAGAGAGAGAGAGAGAGCGAAGGCCGAATGGCGCTAGGGTTCAAAAGCTATTGCCATGGCGTCGCTTGATTTTGATCTGCGATCTGCAGCGGGCAACCGTCGGATGGAGACGGACGGCCATGAGCGAGCGGGCTAAGTCGTCGGCCCAAAGGCGCCTTGACGCTGGGACATTGCCGCCCAGAGCCCAGTTTCGCCTGGGAGTGCGGCTGTCTTGTGAAAAAAAAAAAGGCCGAAATAAGTCATGGTTTTGGGCCAAAACAGAAGATTGAGTCTGGTTTTTGCATTTTCTTTTTCGTAAAATTGAAAAATGGAAATTGGCTCAAAAGAAATAGAAAAAGTATTTTTCCCTGTGGGTAAAATTCATCAAATTGAATATTTTTCCGTCACAGATTTTAAAGATGCAATTTTCATTATTAAATTCGAACCAACGGGAGAATTTAATTTTTGAAAATGAATATGTTTTAATTGATTATAATATTGTTATTATTCTGACCAATGTTGATTAATGGCAATATTATAATGTCTTTGTCTTGCATTAATTCTATTTCTGTCCAACGGTGATGTAGATTTAATGTATAAAATAATTGTATGTTTTAATTTTGACCAACGTTAAACTAAGGCATGCAATTATTGTTGTTATTATTTGTGTTCTCACACTATTTGAATTGTGTTTTCAGGAGGATACAACTTGATGAGTTGTATCAAAGAGATCCCCACTCTAAAAGGTGATAACTATATTGAGTGGAAGAAAAAGATAGACCTGGCTTTTATCCTCGCTGAGGTGGACTGGGTTGTCACCACACCGTGTCCCAGAGAACCTGTGGCACCGGTGAGGGAGACAGATAAGACTGATGCTGCATGGCAGAACAGAGAGCGGGACTTTGCTCCCGTAAAGATGTCCTATGACCTTGAGCATAGGAAATGGGTCATTGACAACAAGAAGTGTTTGGCAGTGATAAAGAACACGATTGAGCCTGCTATTGTAGGCTCAATTCCAGACTGTGACACGGTCACAGAGTACCTAGAAAGAATAAAGAGTCAGTTCACTGGCTCTTCAAAGACATATGCAACCCAGCTAATCAAGCAGCTGGTTACAGAAAGGTACTCTGGTGGCGGCAGTGGCATTAGAGAGCACATACTAAGAATGAGCAATCTGGCATCTAAGCTCAAACCAATGGATTTGGCACTCAAGGATGAGTTTCTTATTCATTTGATTTTTGCTTCCTTGCCCAAAGAATTTGACACATTTGTTGTTAATTACAACATACAGCCTGAAAAATGGGATTTAGAAAAGCTTATAGCCATGTGTGTGCAGGAGGAGGAAAGGATAAAAGTTTCACAGGGTGGTACTGTCAACTACCTAAAAGATAAGAAAAAGAACTATAATAACAGCTCTTCCTCCAAGTCATCAGGAAAAGATCCCATGCAACAGTCTCAGAACAAGCAATTCCCAGTGGATAAAGACCAAAGTCTCTCTCCAAGAAGAAGACGGACATTATAAAAAGAATTGTCCTGATTTCTTAAAGATGATTATGAAAAATAAAGGTGAGAACATCATTACATTTGTAAATGAATCCTTGTATGTAAAGTTTTCAAAATCTACTTGGTGGATTGATTCAGGTGCAACTATTCATGTTGCTAATTCATTACAGGGATTTCGTTCGATGAGAACTTTGCAAAGAAGCGAAAGTTTCATTAAAGTCGCAAATGGAGTACAAGCAGACGTTGAGGCCGTTGGCGATCTTCCGCTAGAGCTTGCTGATGGCTTCATACTTTTTCTTAGAGATGTTCTTTATGTACCTTCTTTGCAAAGAAACTTGATTAGTGTATCAAAATTGGACCATGATGGTTATGATTGCCATTTTGGAAATGGCAAATGTCAGATATTGTTTAATAATAAATGTGTTGGTCTTGCCTTCCGACAAGACAAGCTTTATTTGTTATCACTTCGTGAAAATGTGAATTCCGTATGTGATGTGAATGAGAATGTATCCTCATCGAACAATGCAAACAGAAAATGAAAGAGAGCTCACGATGCGTTATCGAAATTATGGCACTGTCGTTTAGGCCATATTTCGAGGAGGAGAATAGAAAGACTAGTCAAGAATGATATTCTTCCTCCATTAGAGCTCTCAGATTTAGAACAATGTAGAGATTGCATAAAAGGAAAGTATGTAAAAAAAATTAAGAAAGATGCCAAACGAAGCGCAGGAATTCTACAGATTATTCACACAGATATCTGTGGTCCTTTTCCTGTGAAAAGTGTAGATGGTCATAATTCATTCATAACATTCACAGACGATTACTCTCGGTTTGGCTACATTTATCCAATTAAAGAAAGAACAGAAGCGTTGGATAAATTCAAAATATTTAAAGCAGAAGTTGAAAATCAGCATAATTTAAAGATTAAGATAGTCAGGTCTGACCATAGGGAAGAGTACTACGGTCGGCATACCCCATATGGATAAGTTCCTGGACCTTTTGCAAGGTTCTTACAGGAGAATGGTATAGTCGTCCAGTATTCAACACCGGACGAACCTCAGCAGAATGGAGTAGCTAAAAGGCGTAACCGTACCCTGATGGATATGGTGCGTAGTATGATAAGTTACTCCACTTTACCGATGAGTCTATGGATAGAGGCGTTAAAAACCGCCATTCATATTCTCAATAGAGTACCAAGTAAGTCGGTGCCCAAAACACCGTATGAGTTGTGGACAGGAAGAGTACCCTCACTTAACCACTTGCGTGTGTGGGGGAGCCCTGCTGAGGCTAAAGTTTTTAACCCAAACATTGGGAAGCAAGATCCCAAACACAGTGAGTTACCATTTCATTGGCTACCCAGAAAAGTCAAAAGGTTTTCGTTTCTACTGTCCTAACAGACATACAAAGTTTGTGAAAACGAGACACGCTGTCTTCATAGAGGATGAAATGATTAGGGGGAGCATGGTAGCTCGAGAAATTGACCTTGAAGAGAAGCGGGTGTATGCACCCACTCCAATAATTCATGAGCCATTTTTCTCACTACCTGCTGTTACTGCACCGACAGTACAAGACACTGTGGTGCCAGCACCTGTTGTTATCCCGCCTGTGGTAACAATGAATGATGATGAGGAATCTGTTCCTCAGGATCCTATAGAAACTATTGCCACACATGAGGAGGAGCAACAACAGCCTCAAACAGAAAATATGCCAAATGAGGAGGCCCCTAGAAGGTCTCAAAGAGTTAGAAAATCAGCTATTCCTGCTGATTATGAAGTGTACAACACTGAAGAATTCCAAATGGAGGATGATCCCACCTCATTTGAAGAAGCCATAAAAAATGATCATTCATCAAAATGGCTTGAGACCATGGAAGATGAGATGAGATCAATGAATGCAAATAAAGTTTGGGATTTGAAGATAATTCCTAAATGAGCCAAAACAGTAGGCTGTAAATGGGTCTACAAAACAAAACTTGACTCTCAAGGAAATATAGAGAGATATAAAGCCTGACTTGTGGCAAAAGGCTTTACACAAAGAGAAGGGATTGATTACAATGAGACCTTTTCTCCAGTCTCATGTAAGGATTCCTTCAGAATCATAATGGCATTAGTGGCACATTACGATTTAGAATTACATCAGATGGATG